AAACTTCCAAACCACTGATTTAAATGAGTCACCATTTTGATAGACCCAACTTCAAAAACTTTGCATCAAAATTTTGTGAAGATTTTACAGCAGTCCTGAAAAAGCCATTGAGGTCCTCAAGAATTTCATCAAGAGCAATGCTGTGGGGCTGCTTCTTCTCATATTCAGGCAAAAGAATTACCACTTGTGTAATTATGTGTTTGAGAGATTAAAAAAAAGTGAAGTAACACAGTACCTGTAACTGTTCATCAAACTACTCTCCCCTCAATGTCTGGATTTTAAAATGGGGGCCTCATGCATAAAAATTCCAGTTCCTTTCAGGATGAAAGTACATATTCAAATAGGTATTATATAATTAATAAGTAATTCTTCCCACCCTGCTTTTAATCAATTCGCTATCCCCAGCGAGTTACTGGAGAATCTAATTCAGTACTTTATCACATCAGCACAGAAAGTATTATCATAAATTTATGCACTGCAAAAGTCTTAAGAACACTTTTCCCAGGACATTTCTGAACTAAAGTTTGTAAATTATACTTCAGGAAAGATTTTACTCTAACACTCAAAACCATGAAGACCACTTGTCATAACTACATCCATGAAAGCGTACATTTTATCGGTTAAATGATCAGTCCTGCCTCTCTTTTTGACAGGTCTTCCTATGGACAATAGCATACGATTATACAGCAGGAAGGCAAGCTAAGTTTGAATTTGGAGTGCATTTAAAGTACATGTACTTTGTGGTAACTGCCTGTGCATATACTTCAGAAGCTAGTTTTGGGAGAGGGTTGGGGGGAACAAGCACACTGGTGTTTCCTGGTATTTTTCATTGACTTCTCAAGTAATTATTCAAGTCTCCAGAGCTGGATTTAAATCCAGACTTTTCTTTGTACCATATTCCAGCTACTCATTTACACTTTTTTGGTTTTACTGCAGTTAAATGTATTGCTTGTTTCTAACAATTCTAAATCAGTAACATAAAAAGGCATCTGTATGATACAAAACGTAGGACAGATAAAAAGATCTCTTCTGTGCTCTAACATCTAGAATTCAACAGATTGTATACAAGGGAAGGCTTCAAATATGCTACTTCTATGTCCATATTGTCTCCCCTCCCTCATCTTCTCTACATATGTTGTTTTTCTCTCTTACTTCCTCTGAATTATATTTTGCTTTGCTTTTTACCTCCCCTAATAAACTAGTCATGTTTTCCTCCGCCTTCTTCCATATTTTGCTTAGCATTTAACATACAAAAAGAACATTTAACAGTTTCTCTAAGATTTTTCCACTAGAAAACTATCTTCAACATGGCTCAAAGAAAAGCAGTGTGAAAAGCCTACCTCCCAAAGCACTCTAATTCTTTATAAACAAAACTAGTTGTAAAGAAACTTCATCCCTGAGTACGTGGACTTAGCTTTCTTTGCAGAGTTTCCATGCATTAAGCATTGCTGAGGCATTATCTTGGCTGCTGCTCCATCTTTTAATTGTCAAAGTGCATCTTGAGTAATTATCTACCACCTAATGTAGTTAACTATCCAATACATTAATTATTTGAAGTCTGTCTTTTGAGCTCTTCTAGGTTCTAGCAGAGTCTTACAAAGTAAAAATCATGCTGGATCCTGCACCTGAGAAAACATTAACACTGTTTTACACATTCTGAGAGGAGATGGGAACAGAGGGGATATCACAGACTAAGAAGTAGCAAGCACCACAATACTCTGATTTAGAACTGCCAAGTCACACATGGATCCCCTCTGATCTCACTGATAACTACCAGATGATGAATCCAAAAGTAAATCTGCTCTCTGCACAAAGGACACCTGAAGCATTCTGTGATGCTTTCCATGTTGTCTCCTCCTCTGAGGGCCCTTAATTTTGGGGAAAGTTTATACAGCCTGCAGCCTGTTCTATCTCAGTTACAGGCAGCCCACTCTCTACCAAAGTCCCTTATTGCTGCGTTTAAAATATTTCATACATGTCCATATGAAACAAACAAAAATGCCTTACCAGATTATCAAGCATTCGCATAAGAGCTTCAAATTCCTGTTCGCCAATCTGCCATTTCGGATGGGATACAGTACCCTCACCTGCTGGAGACTCAGGGGAACGAGACTTGGCTTTATACTTTCCAGGATCCAGAAGCACTAAATTGTCAGGTCCACCTGCACTGGCCAGGGTACGTACCTTAAAAACAATAAAGTCAGCTTTAGGTTTCTTGAAGGAAGAAAAGAACAACCAAAATTCCCCCCCAAATTGACATCAGAAAAAACAGTAGAAATCTACTTAATTTTTAAGCTAAATAAATTAACATACTTATATAAAAGTTGTCTTAAGGCTTTGAAAATATCTTAAGACATAAATGTTTTAACAGGCAGTATATAGTAAATCAATGGTTCCAATGCAGCATCTGAAAATTACTGGTTAAACCAATATTTTGGATGTCCTCATATAATACAATGATTTTACAACTCACCATATTAGTTTAGATCAAGAATTTAACCAGGTAAAGAGTGCAGAGACAGTAATTAATCTGTCTGAAGGTGAATATAGTAGACTATATTATTACAAAAACATCCTAAAATTCTTACTTGAATCTCACAGGCAAGCACTAGATTATGAATATAGTAGAAAGCCTCCTCAACAGTCTCTCCAACTGATACTAAGCCATGATTTCTGAGAATAAGGACCTAGAGAGACATTGCAAAGAAAGTTAAAGAGCAGTAAGGCAAATATTTTCTTGCTCTTGAATAAAGAACAAACCCCTCCCACCCCCACAAACACACTTGTCTTTAATTCCAGATGTAAATACTGACCTTGCTTTTAGGCCCCAAATTTTTCTGAATCACCACCTTTTCTTCATCATCCACTAAAATACCATGGTAGTCATGATAAGCTACTTCCCCTAGAGAAAGTGCTTCTGGTGAAATTGGCAAGAGACCACACTTCATTGCAGACACCTGAGAAATATGGAAACAACTAGCTTAATTACTTGCAACAGAAAAAAAATTATTATAAGAATTACATTAAAAATATATTTGTATATATTATATATAGGTGCCTGAACAGCCACATACATAGTGGTCTTATACTCCACCCCTAAAGCTTCTATTTTTCACAGTGTTTGGATTGGATAGAGAAGTCACACTGATCCTGGGTCTGACTCAGTATGGCTGCTTTTATATGACAGACAAACAAAAAAAACATGTTTTCCAAACTAAGTTTTCCAACACCAAGATGGAACTAACCATGTTTTCCAACACCAAGATGGAAAGACTCGGGGAAAAAACCCAAATCAACCCATTAAAAAAAACTCAACCAAAATCAACTGCATCTTTCATTCCTTTTACTCCACTCAGCAACTTCCCCCCCCCCCAAG